AATCAGATATACTTCCTCCTTATATGCTGATGCTAAATTTACTAACTCAATCAATTGAATTTCATTATTAAGGTAGAATATAAAAATGGTCAAATATACAATCTACATGTTTTCTTGATTGTTGGACTTGTCCTACTAAAATTGTTACATCTTATGCAACTCTCCAACCTTCGAAATTCAACTATTATTTAGAAGAGGAAAACAATAAAAACATGACCATATTTAGAACTTTTCTTTGTCTTCAAATGTTACTTTTGTTTTTGTGAACATTGAAATTTGTGAACTATCAACCCTTAAAAGAGTATATAAACCCTACGAAATTAACAGTTGATAGTTCAGTTTTCTAACCATCAGCTAGTTGTTTAAACTAGCTTGTTTAGAACTAAAAGCTCATTTTACTCAATACATATTCTTTGGACGAAATACTGGTGTTTTGTTAATCAATTTCTACCGAAATTGCCTTTGTTAGACTATTTGTGGACAAACTTTAAAGGTTCTATTTGGACCAGTACTTTGGCAAGTTGGTAAATGATTGGAAAGGACGATTACAGTTGTGACGAACCAGAAATTCCTACAATTACAATACAACAACGTACACAATGAGATTTTAAATAGTATGCTCTCCTAAAATATCAATATGAAAAACAAACTTGCAAACTGGACTACCAGTGACTTGATGTAGTTTGAGAATTATTGAGTTGGGTTCATAAGAATTGGCTTTTACTAAGGCATTTACAGTAAATGGTGTTGAGTGTCCTTAGTCAACTAACATTTGAAATTGTTACATTACATTTTTATATAAAAAGTAAAACAAAATAAAACTACTTAGAAAGAATAGTTGACTGACAACTAAGACTCATCAATTCATTTTGGCCAGAGTCTTGTCCGGTTTCATGTTCCACCAATGGCAATTGAATTATTGGAAGATATAAAGCCTTTCAAACAAAGACCATACAGATTGCCACCCAACAAACAGCAGGAATGCAGGGATCAATTAAATGGATTATTGGAAAATGGTCTAATTAGAGCAAGCAAAAGCCAATGGGCTTCACCCATTGTTTTTGTGAAAAAGAAAGAAGGAACATTAAGAATGTGTGTGGATTACAGAAAACTTAACAAGCAATCAAAAAAGAATTGTTATCCAATCCCACATCAGGAAGATTTATTTGATAAGCTTGGAGGAGGCCACAAATATTTTTCTATATTGGATTTAACAAGTGCATTTCATCATATTCCAATTAAAGAAGAAGATAAGGAGAAAACTGCTTTTATTACACCATTTGGTTTATTTGAATTCAACAGCATGCCATTTGGTTTGGCTAATGCACCTTCACACTTCAGCTATATCATGGCAAATTTTGTTATTAATGGATTGGAAAACTTCTGCATTAATTATATGGATGATATTATAGTTTTTACCAAAACATTGGAAGAACACTTTGTAGCTCTACAGAAACTTATGTAAAGAATCAAGGAAAAAGACTTCAGAATTAAACTGAGCAAATGTGCATTCTTACAAGAATCAGTTCAATTCCTTGGTCATAGAATTACACAGAATGGTATTGAAACTGATCCTGAAAAGATTCAGAAAATAAAAGATGCCAAATTACCTATGTTTGCAAATACTCTGTTGAGTTTTGTGGCATTTTGTGGTTATTATAGAAGATTTGTTAAAGATTTTGCAAAAATCACAAAACCTTTGAGAGAATTATTAAAAGTACACCAAAAGACAGAAAAACTGAAATGGACAAAAAAAGCAGAGGAAGCTTATGAAACACTAGGGAATGCAATGACAGAGCCCCCAATCCTTCAACTGCCAGACTTTACTAAATCATTCTATTTAACAACAGATGCTTCTAATTATGCAGTTGGTGCAGTTCTAGAACAAGAATGGGAAGAAGATGGAAAGAAAATAAGAAAACCAATTTCTTTTGCTTCCAAGCTCCTAATCAATACACAACTAAGATATGCAGCTTATCAAAAAGAGGCTTTTGCAGTATATTGGGCAGTACAAAAATTCTCCCATTATCTACAGTATAAGAAATTTTTTCTCTACACTGATCACCAAAATTTGGTACAAACATTTGTACAAAACAAACTGAATACAAGTACTGTTAAATGGGTGATGGCACTTATGGATATGGATTTTGAAATAATATACATACCAGGAAGAACTAATAGAGCAGACTGGATATCAAGAATTGGTGAAACTGATGAAGTAATTGATTTTCGTAATTTACTTAAGGAAAGATTAAATGAAGAAAAACAAAATGGCAATACAGTTCCCCAATTAGCAGAAAGAAAGGATATGCTTAAATGCTTTTATATTGATACAGAGGACTTAGAAGAATTAGATGATTGTTTAGATGACAATCTAGACAATGATTATGATGAAGACATAACTGAAATCCAAGCCCAGATTATGAAACTAAAAATCACACCAGTTGAAATAAACTTCTATAGAGAACAAGTATTAGATACTCCACTAATGTTAGTTGTAGACAAATTGGAAGGAGAAAACATTGATAATAGGTCTTTGAATGAATATGGAAACTTTATTGAATCTATGTTTGTAAAAGAAGACCTTGTATGGTATCTAAATGGCTGTCAACCACTACTTGTAATTCCACTATCAACTCTAACCAACTTACTTGGACAAATTCATCAACATCAACTATTTGAGCACTATGGTGTAGACATAACAATTCACACTTTGGAGCAAGCTTTCTGGCACCCCAAGCTAAAGAAAACAATTAAAGATCACATAAAGAGTTGTGAATTTTGTGAGCAATTAAGAGCACCAGGCAACAAACATCTGTTGGTTGAAACACCTCACCCAACTTTACCAATGCAAAGAATAGCTATGGACATAATGGGACCTCTGACTGGACATGATTCTTACAAGTATATACTTGTCATTATAGACCACATGTCCAGATTTACCAACATATTCCCTCTAAAAACTCAAACAGCTGAGGAGATTTCTCAACATTTGTTTTTCAACTATTTCACAATATTTGGTATCCCAGAAGACATTCTCACTGATCAAGGAAGGAATTTTCTTGGGGAAATCTTTACAGAAATGGTGACATCAATGGGAATACAAAAAATTAAAACAACATAATATGAATTAATATCTTTTTCTACTGCCTACCCAAAATCTGTAATAGGATATTGATTTTATTCCAAATAATCATAGTAAGCAAGTAGAAATATCAGAAAAATTTAAACAAAGAAAATATTGAATTTTTAGCCCTTAAAATTATTACAGTAGTGAAAAACCTACCTATAGTGTTCACTTAGAAATATCAGCATAATAATATTTAGACTTTAGATATTATAGAACTTTAGAAAGCCTCATATTTTGTAGCAATTTTAATGGTGGAAGATTAGAAAGACATTTATTTAGTACAATTTTAGTCTAGAACTTTAAAAAGGCTCTTATTTCATAGGAAACATATTCTTTGACAAAAACAGATGTTGCATGATGGAATTAACAATGGCACAAACAATATTGAAAAAATGCATGTTAAACTAACCCAACCCTAGTTTACAGACAAAGATATTAGGTTTTTCAACTCTTGTTTATTGTTATTATTTGAATCCAGTTGTAACACTTGCTTTTTTATTGCATATTTTTGGTTTTTTCTCACATTTTTATATAAAATTTCTATTCAGAGTTGTTTTTTTTTTACCTAGAAAATATGTAGATTTATTTTCAAGTATTTAAACTACATTTTAGATAGAATTAGATTATGATTAATAACATTGGACACTTGTTGAGAGGAGATTGATAAAAAGCTTTCAAAATATACAAAGAGATTATATATTGTGAATCATTGATTTTTAGTTATTCAATATCAGCAAACATTTTTTGAATAAAATTGATTTGGTATTATCAAAAATAAATTAATATCTTTTTCTACTGCCTACCCAAAATCTGTAATAGGATATTGATTTTATTCCAAATAATCATAGTAAGCAAGTAGGAATATGAGAAAAATTTAAACAAAGAAAATATTGAATTTTTAGGCCTTAAAAATATTACAGTAGTGAAAAACCTACCTATAGTGTGTACTTAGAAATATCAGCATAATAATATTTAGACTTTAGATATTATAGAACTTTAGAAAGCCTCATATTTTGTAGCAATTTTAATGGTGAAGATTAGAAAGACATTTATTTAGTACAATTTTAGTCTAGAACTTTAAAAAGGCTCTTATTTCATAGGAAACATATTCTTTGACCAAAACAGATGTTGCATTATGGAATTAACAATGGCACAAACAATATTGAAAAAATGCATGTTAAACTAACCCCACCTTAGTTTACAGACAAAGATATTAGGTTTTTCAACTCTTGTTTATTGTTATTATTTGAATCCAGTTGTAACACTTGCTTTTTTATTGCATATTTTTGGTTTTTTCTCACACTTTTATATAAAATTTCTATTCAGAGTTGTTTTTTCTTACCTAGAAAATACGTAGATATATTTTCAAGTATTTAAACTACATTTTAGATAGAATTAGATTATTTTGTAGCAATTTTAATGGTGGAAGATTAGAAAGACATTTTAATGGTGAATGATTAGAAAGACATTTTAATGGTGGAAGATTAGAAAGACATTTATTTAGTACAATTATAGTCTAGAACTTTAAAAAGGCTCTTATTATTGTGAAGCATTGGTTTTTAGTTATTCAATATCAGCACATTATTATGTCTTTCTAATGATACTCTAGAACTTTATATTATAGAACTTTAAATTTCTCTCATATTGCTATTTGCTAACTATGATTAATCAGATTAAAATGAATATCCTATTACAGTATTTGGGTAGGCACTAGAAAAAGATATTAATTCATTTTTGATAATGCCAAATCAATTTTATTCAAAAAATGTTGAAATATAAGACATTTATTTAGTGCAATTAGGGTCTATGTTTTGAATAAAATTGTAGATAGAATTACATTACAAATAATAAGATTATTCAAGATAATTGTTCAAATTTTCTGGAAGAGGATATCATTTACATCAAGTAGCCAACAATCATTATTATATCTCTTTACTATCTTGGAATGAACCAGTCTATCATTTACTATGACGGAAGAGTCCATATTATTTTCACTGTCTTGAACATTCTTAAAGAAATGAAAATTTTTTTGGTAAACAATACCAAGTAATCCTCCATTTTTCTTGTTTGCCAATTGTGTTTGAATGATAATATCTAAAAATTCTCCAACTACAAGCTTCTTTGATTTTTTTACTGAGAAAAATTCAGATTTAGAGTGGTTCTGTTTCTTTATTCCAACTAAAAATATATTATTCTCAGGTGCTAGAGTCACAGTAAAATCTCCAATTTGAATTGGTTTTTTTGTAGAATGCCAGTCTTGATATTTTTGATCCTGAATGTACACTCCATCTAGAGCAATGGCCAAATTATGATTATTTAAAGAAAAGACAATCTGATGCATATAGTAGTCATCTTTTAGAACACCAAATACAGTAATATTTTGTTTGAAATCTTTAAAAATTTTCAATTTCCTGTAATAAGTTGAAGAAACATCAAAACAAATTTGCTTCATTCCCAAACCATTCTTATCCTTTACAAAAACAGAAAAATGTGGATCACCACCACCACCACCTTGACTTAAAATAGATATGGTACTTGTGAAACTTTTATAGTATGATGAAGGACAATTATAGCGTAATATCTTTTCTTCAAGACCTTCAGTTTCACCATCACTTACAATTGATAATGTCAAAGTTACTGTTTGTGATGATTCTAAATTTGAAAATGATGTGGCACCAGTACCTGAATAATCTGGATCAACTTGTATACTGAAAGAGAAAAAAGAGCAAATTGATATTTACTAAAAGGATCAATCATTTCATACCTGCAAGTATGAGCTGGAACCCCTCCCTTGATTTTTATTTCTACTTCATCCCCTTCATTAAATTCCACTCCAGTATTAAAAATAAAACTTGGTGGGGGATGTCAATGCAGAATATTCTAAAAATATTAATTAATTGTTACAAAAAATTAATATATTCCAGTAAAAATTTGTAAATAAACAAGTAATCAAAATTCAAAACAAAAGACATACCAAATTGACACAATACAACTGTCAGGAAGATTAAGAAATTCATAGTTCTTTCTTTCATCTTTAAAAATGCAGAATAAATACTCACATTGCTTTTATAGAAAATTTTAACAAAGAATGTAATGAATTTTTGGCTATAAAAAAGCCATTCAAATTGCTACAAAATATGAGGCTTTCTAAAGTTCTATAATATCTAAAGTCTAAATATTATTATGCTGATATTTCTAAGTGAACACTATAGGTAGGTTTTTCACTATGCTAATATTTTAAGGGCTAAAAATTCAATATTTTCTTTGTTTAAATTTTTCTGGTATTCCTACTTGCTAACTATGATTATTTGGAATAAAATCAATATCCTATTACAGATTTTGGGTAGGCAGTAGAAAAAGATAGTAATTCATTTTTGATAATGCCAAATCAATTTTATTCAAAAAATGTTTGCTGATATTGAATAACTAAAAACCAATGATTCACAATATATAATCTCTTTGTATATTTTGAAAGCTTTTTATCAATCTCCTCTCAACAAGTGTCCCATGTTATTATTCATAATCTAATTCTATCTAAAATGTAGTTTAAATACTTGAAAATATATCTACGTATTTTCTAGGTAAGTGT